CTTACTCATGCGAAATACAGCCTGTACATACGTGATCTTACTTACATATGCATTGAAGTTAAAGATGTTATAAGGAACAGAACTCGTTCGTAAGCCAGGGATTGCCTGTAATTTCTAGGTTAAAGTTATCCATGGTATAAGCTAACATTTTCTGATCATGTCATGAGTTGTACCATGAATTCACTAACCAAAACAACTCACAGAAGAAATTAGTGTTGGTTCAGATGATGAACTCTTACTAACATTGACAACATTTTCGTTGTCAAACTGTGTAATATGGCTTGATGATGTATAATATTTATGGTTTATATGTCGCATTTGAGCTTGTTTTGAAATGAGAATGGGTGCATGTGGTATTTTTGTTATTTGGAAACACCAAGATTGCAAGATTGTATTTATTCATGGTAACATATGTTGTAGCTATAAATGTAGATCAGTACAGCTTCCTTATCTTTCAGCACCATGTAGATCAATGCAAACCTGTTTCCATAAGTATAGTTTAGGCATGAAAGTTTAAAACAGCTTCCTGATATGCAAAAGTTAAAGTACCCCATAATCATTAATCAAGCAGCAGTCTATGTATTTGTTGGCTTTTGTTGTGGTTAAACTGGCTGTAATCAGAAAGACAGCCAATGGAAAAGATGGCCATTCTATTGCGGGGGGGGGGGGGGGACTTGGCAGTATATAGAGCAGCAAACCACATGCTGTCTTCATTGTGCAAAACCAAAGAAAGGCTTTCAAAGTATGAATGTAAAACCTGACATCCTGCCTTTGAATATGCTATACACTCCTTTCTGTGTAATTTGTAAAATCAATTAAAAGACTGGATGGAACAGGAAGTAATCAAATGCACATTTTTACTTAGCCTAACAAGGGAAGCAATTTATTTGTATAGCTGTGGCAGTGTTGTTAGGTAAGGAATACAATATTCCTGTTTTGTTAAGAAGCCTGTTGCCTCTTGTGTAAAATTTGTATATTCATCAGGGCCACAGGAAGGACCAAGTTTCTTGGATGTGTGCAATATTCTGTTCTGTAACATAGCAGCTACTGCAAATATCAGTAGAGAATCCGCCCCCCCCCTTTCCAGCTTTGATTTACTGAGAGCCCACAGCCAAGCCAGCTGTTAGCACTTCTTAACTTTTGTCAGTGTGTATGAGCCAAAGCAGGGAGGCATCAGTGCTGTACAGTTTTGTGCCTGATACAAAGAGGCAGACACTTTTAACACGTGCTGAATTACTCTGCTTGAAATCCCCAACCCTTTTCTAGATTTCCTGCACTCTGTCCTTAAGTTTGTCAATCATTTTCGGTAAATGGATACAATGAATTCGGCTTTGGATACAATGAATCAATGTGTGAATGACTTGGCTCATTATTCTTTGATAGTCTATATCTTTATCGTATCAATAATGCAGGCACAATAAGCTCATGCTTATATGTAATCAGTGACATGAAGATGCTGCAATGAATAGAAGAACAGTGTAGTCAATAAAATACAACAAACTGTGCATGCATACACATCCAAGGGCATAATACACCTTCTAAACAAAATCATCAAAGATATAGAGGAACATGGAATAAGATATAATTACTTCTTTTATAAACTGGCATTCATTTTTGAAGCAAGGTTTTCCCTAATTGCCTGCAATTCCACCTACTTTAAAGCTTAATGCTATGGGTTATTGGCTGGTTGTATACACAACTACTAATCTTCTTTTGTAATTAAGCTCCATTTTAACTCTATCACAAAAATGACTGCTTAGTGCTTCTTATCAAGGCCATGTATGATTGGTATCTTTTGGCCTATGTCTTGAAGGTACTGAATATTCAAACTTTTCTGAAAGCCTTTCTACATCAGACTTTTAACCTACTACTTTACTAAGGCTCCTGCTTCCAGATTCTTTGCAGGATTAAGATAGGTTCCTTTATTCATTTTTGCCTGGGGTTTTCTTTCTCTACCTTTCTGTATGTTCCATTACACAACCACTAGATAGCACTGTACTATAGCAAAATTGGTCAGATACACAAGAGCTTCCATGCCACCATTCTGATATATGCAGGAAACTTGCCTACTTAGGAAAAAATGCTGTAATGGTTTCAAAGCAATGGAGAGGTCTTGGAGGGTAACAATGTTATGTAAAGCACTGAAAACAGCCATAAGTGAAGAATTGCAAGCACACAATACATACTTGTGTAGGAAGAGTCCAAGCCAATTAGCAAATCCAGACCAGTTGGGTTCTTCATTGTACCTGCTACCACTGTCTTTTGCTCACCTAAGCATTTCCCCTTACTTTTACTGCTTTTTTGCAACATTATAACATCCACAGCAGCAATTACTATGCAGTTTCATTAGTAAGATATGCCTCCAATTTTGTTCTCCCAAACTTTTGATCTATAGAAAGACCGACATCTGAACATTCCACAAAGCATCATTCTATTTCCCTATGATGCTTACTAGGACACAGCATGCAGTGATATACCTATAATGCTTGGCAATTTGTGATATCTGAAAATAGATTCAACAATTAAACGGGTTGAGAAAGGCTGCACTAATTAATTTTAGCAACTGAAAGAACTGTGCATGATACACTGACAACCACTTACCCGATTCAACAGAGTTCAGCATTCTTTCATTAAGATTCTTGGGATTCTTCACTGTCACTACTGATTAGTTCCATTTCACACAGAGACATACATGTTTTTCAATTACATATATGTATTCTTTCACATACTTGTTAGAGATAATCACTGAAAAGGACTAATTACAACTTTGAAGCTGCCAAGCTAGTCATTTGATTACTAATGAATGTAGGAAATGGAAAATTGTTTACACAAAATAAAGCACTGGAAAATGTTCCTCCTCACATAATTTCTCCCTGAAAATTTGCTTTGAAGGTTTGGTAAACCTTTTGAATGATAGGAATGGGGCACAAGAATTCTACTGTATTGCAGTTCCATCAGTAAACAGAAGGAGCTATTCCAATCCAACACCATTCTCAGTACTTACGGAAAAAATATCTGTTTCTAACGGAAAGATATGTACAATGGGAGGAAATTAAGGTATTGGACAAGCTGGAGCAGCAATGGAAACACTTCATGAAAATTATTACATGATCGCTTTTGAATAGTTGTCAAAAGAACATGTTAGCACGTGGAAGTGATACAGTTTCTTATACATTTTTTAGTACAGTGGTTCCCAACCTTTTATTTCCCTGCACCATTAGAAAATGATTTATTTATGTTCACACTTCCTACAAAATTAATATACTATTTGAAGTTGAAGAAGACAGATTTCTAATTTTTGAACCACATATTGAACCATGTACAGTACTGTGGGAGTACAAGTTGAACTCCTGCTTCTCATTCACTATTTTGTCAAAACATGCAATTTTATTGCTGATTGCGATCCACAAGTCTGCCTGTGGATTCAGGTGATTCCTAGATTTTTGTTGACAAAAGAGAACTCAATCCAAATGCAAACAATATAATAATAAATAATTTTATTATTGGGATATTTTTTGGCAAAAATTATTATTCCACCAATTTTCACAAATTCTGATGAGGCATTCCTCTTTGTTGCATCCCCTGAAATGCCATCTTGCATCCCTTGGGTTGATGAGAACCTCTGACTTAGTATATGAAAGGTGACTATGTGAATTGAACCTTTGGCTTCTACTTTTATTTCTATTCTTAGAACTGATTTCAAGCATTCACATGCCCTCCCCCCACCAAAAGTACTGCACTTGCTGGACTCTTCCCCTCAAAATGTAGCTTTGTTGGATGTTTGCCTATTTCAAAATCCTTCTGCTCATGCATAGCCCAAGAGAATGTTAGCCTAGCACCTTTGTGCTAGCTTTCCAGGTTCAGGGATTTTACAGCTAGGAAAAAGTATTCAACATTACAGACACTTTATGTACAATCTGAGGTGTAACAGGTTTTTGTATTCTTTTCAAAATATTTGAACTCTAAGGAACTGCACAATGTGATTACTCATGGATGCTATCCCAGACTAAGTATGGGCTATGTCTGGTTAATTTAAAAGCATGCTTCACCAACCTGTTCCATCACCATAAATATAGTCTTGGTGCCAAACCAGACAGCATGTTTAATGCATCTGGTGGTGGTGGTGTTAAATAGCAACCAGGGATTGGGATTGGGATTAGAGCAACGCCTCGCAGATTAAGATTTCTAAGAATGCTGTTCTCTGATGTCATAGTCTTGATGAAGATCACTTACACTCTAATCTGCCCCCAACCCCAGCAGGGAAGCTTCCATTGGATCTTCCACTGTTCTTGAGGGCACTGGTTTGCCAGTAGAATCTAAAAGGATCAGCTAAAAAAATCAGACGTGTTAAATGTATACACAGATATAAAGTACCATCACATTTATCTCTTATAATTTCATTACAATTTCTGATTTACAAGGTTTGATAGATCATAGATGGAAAACAGAGTGGCCTGGGTACTTGAGAATTTCAGTCACATAGACATTTTCATGGTTGCAGATTTAAATTTTAGTGGAAGAGACTGCTGCTTGTGTGTGTCCATTACCATGAGGAAATACCCTTTTTCTTAATATGAGTCGTTTGTGATGTGAAATAGCTGGCTGCATGCAGCAACCATGGGATTTCAAGTGTGCTGTACTGGACAGTTTCATACTATAACATGGTTCCTGAAACAAGACCAGAGCTCTGCTCTATTCTGAGGGTTGGTATCTATTTGTGATAGAATTGACTCTGTTTTTAATTAGTTGAATTAAAAGATGGTATTTTGTGGGTCAGTTCTGCAGCCTCTCTCTCTTACCGTATTGTAATACCCCCTTTTGCTTACTTTGGAAGAAGAGTTGGGTGGTTGAAAGTTTGCTTGCTGTTCAGTATGTACCTGATCTTTCTTCTTTCCTGTAAGTGTTGTAGATGTGTTATCTTGGAAAAAGAAGAATTAGAACATTATATCTTTTGGACAAAGACTAACTTTGTTTTTCCTTCCCCTATTTCTCATCAACAGCATCTGCAATCCCTGATAATGGGAGACGGTCCTGTCTAAAGCTGAAAGTCTTTGTACGACCAGCAAGTAAGTTCTTTAGATCTGCTTTAGAGGGTGACTTTATAGTGCATGCTTCATTTGGTCTGGTAAAACAGCAGTAAAAATCAATTTTTACTCTTAAATCCTGTGTGGTATGTGTTCTATAAAGCGGCATTTTTTTGTTGTTTTCATCATATCTTTTTATCATTTTCACAAAGCTTTTTTTATTTGTTTTAAATACACAGCAGTTGCTAACTTGTTGTTTCTTAGTGTTGTACCAAAAGACAATTATTGTGGCATTTGGAAATGTGCCACAGCTAAGATATAAATACATACATATATTAGAAATAGAAATCAGATAGAACAACAACAAAAATGGAAATGGGGAATTTAAGGGTGTCTCACTAACATATTTGGCTGTTATCTCTATTTTTGTTATAGACAACTGTATGAAAACTATAGGTGTTCATGATCGTGTTTTCGATGTTAACGACAAAGTAGAAAATTCATTAGAACCAGCAGGTTAGTATGCTTAGAGAATCTCTTTTAACAAATGCCTCTGTCCCTCTGGTGCTTTTGCTTCTCCTTCCCTCTTTCTCTCTGCATGGTTTGCATGGTAAAAGGACTCTGCTTTTACTCATTCCTCGCAGTGCTAATATTGCTTATGGTATATCTCATTTGCTAGTGCTAGTATTCTCTTGTGATGAACAGGAGGTAAAGTATGCTTTTTCCATGACAACTTATTTACTCAAACATGGCATCCCAGATTTTAAAATTTAGTAGTTATTCCGTCCCCATTCCCACCCCATTTTTATAGTAAGTTGCCGCACCACAGTATCCATTCAGAGGTGAAAGCTTAAAAAAGAAAATGTGTCTGTGCATAAATACTTTAAATATTGTTTATTTGCATGTTTACTATGAACACCCAAAAGCATTTAAACAAGTGGTTGTCCTCTCTGTAATAAACAGCTGATGGCACAATAGTTGGGCTTACAAAACATGGCAACCTACACTCAAGGCTGAATATGGGTTGAGTGTGCATTGTAGAACCATGGGTTGTTGTTGAACTGTGAGTCATTCTGTTGTGTTAACCCAGTCTTGCTAATAAATCATAGTTGTTAACCATGAACAACCCACAAACAGAACCCATTGTTTGTTGTTGGGGAATAAACAGTGGACTGGAGTGTTGTGTTCACTAAAATAAATCACAAGCAAAATTTATCCAGTAAGTTTGTGTGAGTAAAATAAAAACATTGCAGGCTTTAAACTCAGAACAGCTTACTTCTTATCAGCTATTACCTGTCCTTCTGTACTTTAAAACTAATAACACATGTGAAAGAGCTGCCTATAGTATTCATGCAGATCCTTGTAAATACCTAAGCAAATATGTCTTTGTTCAGCCTGATCTTTTGGGAAATAAGTAAATATACTTTAAAAAGCTATCTGGATTTCAGATGCTTATATAAATATGAATACACAAATTTGATAGCTTTGCTCTACAAATTTAGGGTGCAATTCCACAAGTTTAACACTTCTAAATATCTCTGATTTCAGTGGGATTGAACAGATACCAAAGCAACCCACACTGAAACCCATTGGAATTTAACTGTCCATAGTTTTAGCTGTTTTGTACTCATTGATATATGTATGTCTATAGATGTTGAATGTGTTCATGGATTCAGGTTTACTGGTAAACATGTTTATAAATTATTACTTGCAGTACATTTATTTTTGCAAGCCAAACTTTCCTTTAAGGTTATTTCAAAGAATATTTCTTACTGGTTTGAACCAGATGATATTACCAGTTCCGTTTTTATACTGAAAATACTAAGGGAATTTTAAATGCTAAACTGTCTGCACAATATATATAGACATTGTTTCTATTTAAGCAGCTTTCAGCACTGTTCAGCAAATACAGAATCTTAAGGGGAACATATTTGGGTATTTGTATTCAAGCTAGAAGGAAAATATTTTTGCTACACTTGAGTATAGTCTTGCCCTGTTTGTTTCACCCCCACCCCACCCCAGTGATGGAACAGTTGAGGCTGTTTTTGCTGCTGTGTATCAAAGAAGTAAAAAAACAGCCTCAACTGTTCCTCCATTGGGGGGGGGGAGGAGTCAGACATGACTGGACTTTAACGTCATACGGAAACCTTTACCTTTATCAAAGAGGTGTGATCCTATCCTGTGGAATTGGGAAGGTTTCTTCCTTCCTACATTAGAGGATGGGTGAAGAGCCAGCTGTTAATACTGGCCATTCATTCGGAAGGCCTATTGTCCTTAATTCAGGTTAAGAGATAAGAACCATGCCAGTTCATGATGCATTCTTTCCTGCTAGCTATTTCTTCTTATGTAGGAATATCCTGCTGCATTCTTCCTGTTGGCTTTAACTACAATTAATGCTAACCAAGATTCTCACTTAATCATGACTTGCTAAGTAGTTTATCCATTATTAAAGCTGATCCCAAACCTTAGTTAAGGAAGGATAGGATTTTTTCATATGAAGAAAGGAAGTTAGGCAACGTACATTGGCAGTGCCCCTGCTTCCATGCAGTTATCAGTACAAACAACTCGATTGTGACACCTAGTAATAGATTACAAGCATTATAACAGCACATATCAGACAGTACAGTCTGATATAACAATCAGTACATATCAGAACTGAACAGAATTCAGAAGGACACATTTATTCAGAAACCTGCACCCTAATTCAGGTGGTTTTTAATTACAGACCATTTTCCAAGACAGAAATAGATATAACTTTGTATTGGTAGCAAATAAATGACAAATCTAAACATTCTTCTGAAAACCACAAAGACCCATTTTCTTTTCCCTTCCCTTACCGTTTCCCCTTTTCTTTTCTTCTCTTCTATTCTCCCTTCACTTCCCCCTTTCCCCTTTTCCTCCCTTGGCATATTTCATACACATGGTCACATATCTAAATTATACTCATACTTAAGAAACTTTTTCTGATGTTTAACCCAAATTTCAATGCCATTTCTTTCAAGTGTTCTCCTCAAAGGATATATATATTGGGGAAACAGCCAATGACTTTCTTGTTTAATGATTTTGTTACTAGTTTTCTATTTTGTCCTTGTAACAATTATTTGAGGAAAGTTAGGTTAAAAAAATCAGTGATCAGCCCAAAGTCACTTAGTGAGTCCCCATCCATTCTAACCCAGGAGTGGACAACATGCAAGAATTTCACAACTGTTTACAGTATAGATGACCCGACATGTTTTATGAGAATTGCTGAATTGGAATGCATACTAAGCCTGCTTGGATCTGGACTTAGTCATGCCTGAGGGAGAACCATTGAATTTGGTGGATCTTATTATACTGAATAAACCAAGCCAATTCATCTTAAAGCAAATAACAGACAGACCGACACTCTAGCTATAGAGATATAGAACTGCAAATCCTACTGTTTTCAGTTGCCCAGAGAGTTCTCAGATTGTGAAAATCCTAAATAGCTTAGGATATGTTTCAGAGATAATGATGAAGAAGAACAAAACTAAGTTTCTGAGTTACTATAGTATAATGTCAAAACACAAATGTAAAACAGCTTTTAGCCATAGAGACTGAGAAATTATGGGAATTATAATCCAAAATATCTGGAAGGTACCTGCTAGGGCAAGTCTGATCTAAAATGTTAGTGGAGATCCCCAAGGTTTTTAAGGAGTGCTAGGAATCCCCAACTGTTCCTCCATTTTGCAATTTACTGTTAGTAGATTGCACCTCCAGAATGGCAAAACTGGAGGGAAAATCCAATGGGAAGAGAGCAAGGTTTGTGGCTTAAAAGAACCAGTCTGCTTCCCTGAACTGAGGCTTCCTCAACCTTTTAAGTGTCCCCCTGCTGATTGTGTGTGTGGGAAGTCTTTCCCCATGACCCCAAGTGCCGCTGTGGCACTTTAGGGTGCCTGAGGAAGGTGGTGGTCTGGTAGACCCTTGCCTAGAACAGCAAGCCTTTCTGCCATTCTTGCCAAGGGACTCTGTATTTTATGGTGTTTTGTTTTGTTTTTGGTGGATGTTGTTTGTCTTGTTTTATTATACTTGACCATGGCTTCTTTTTTTGTCTGGGCTCAAAGAACAAAATAAAGCACAGTGGGTTTATTAAACACTACTACAGATGATGGCTGGTTGGGGTGGCTTCTAAACCACTCTGCTGGAAGAATGCTGGGTTCAGAGAACGTACTAAACCACAATAGTTTATAAATCAACATGACTTAATGTGTTCTGTGAACCCAAAGAGTCTGCACAAGTACAACTAGGCCAAATGCTACACTATGCCATCAATGCAATAATAGTGTTAAAATTTACAGTCAGAGCCTAATTACATGTAATTGATACATACTTGCACCATAATGCATTCCTATTTAGGATTTAGTCATAATAAAAGCTTGTTACATGTTAATTATTCTATTAATAATGAATACTTTCTATTGATGTTACTGGCAGCTGTAGGCAGGATCCAAAGAAATACTTTCAATCTGTGTAGAAACTTGGACATATCCAACTGGGGTATTTCTTGCATTGCCCCTCAAACAGTAACTTCTATAGTATCTCACACAGTGCTTCTGAAATCTCCAGGTGTAAAAGTGGTTAGTTGAATTCTCTGGAGAGTGGGGTGCATGCGACTGTAATGTTGTGAAATCAAATGAATTTTGAAGAATCAGTGTTGTACTACAAGTTCCTGTTTTGATTTCTGACAACAAAAATCAGAGAGGCAGTATGCTGTAGTGGTTAGCAGCATGGGACTGGGACTCAAGCAATCTGGGTTCTAATCCCTGCTTGGCCATGGAGCCAACTGGGTGACTTGGGGCCACTCACATTCTCTTAGCCCAACCTACCTCACAGGGTTGTTGTTGTGGGGATAAGATTGAGAGGAGAATTTTGTAAGATGCCTTGAGTTTCTTGAAAAGAGGAATAAAAACAAACAAAGAGATTATACTCCCCTTATACAAATCTTTGATGTGACCACACTTAGAATACCCTGTACAGGTGTGGTCGCTGCACAGGAAACGGCAATTGTTGGGGGGAAATGCAGAGAAGGGTAACTAAAATAATCAAGAGGTTGGAACAAGTCCTGTATGAGGAACGACTAGATAGAATTATTTAGTTTAGAAAAAAGAGAAGTAAGTAGAGACACGATAGAGATTATTAATGCATGCTTTGGAGAAAGTGGACAGGGAGACTCCCCCTGTCCCTTATAGTACACAAACCCATGAAGCTGTTTGGAGGGAGATTCAAGACAGATAGAAGGAAGTACTTCTTCAAACAGCAAATAGTTTCCATAGTGAAACTGTGGAATTTTCAGCCACAGGAAGCAGTGATGGTTACCAATTTGGATGGCTTTAAAAGGGGTTTGGACAAATTCATGGAAGAGGAGGAGGCTATCAGAGACTGTTAGCCTTGCTGACAATGTGCTGCTTCCATTACCAGAGGCAGTATTCCTGAATATACCAGTTGCTGGAAGGCTTGGGCAGGCATAACTCCTGTATCCAACCTGCTTGAGGGATCCT